GCGCCGCGCCCGCTCTCTCTCTCTCTCTCTTTCTCTTTTTTTTTCTCTCTCTCTCTCTCTCTCTTTGTTTAGTTGTTTGTTGTGTGTCTCTCTCTCTCTCTCTCTCTCTCGCGGGGGCACCAGCCGCGGGCGCACCGTGGGCCCAGCAGGGGTCGGCGTGCACAGAGAACCAGATTTCCGGTGCCTCGACCTGGTCAGGTCTGTAGACGCTCTTCGATGCGGGGGCTCGTGCTCGGAAGACTGCGCTATGACCTCTACCAGTCACCGTCGAAGAACGACTCAGGACGGAGATCTGCCCCCCGGGAAGAGGTCCAGACCGCTGATCGGGCCGAACGAAGGGGGGGGGATAGGGAGGAGGAGGAGGAGGAGGAGGAGGAGGAGGAGGAGGGAGGAGGAGGAGGAGGAGGAGGAGGAGGAGGAGGAGGAGGAGGAGGAGGAGGAGGAGGAGGGAGGAGGAGGAGGGAGGAGGAGGAGGAGGAGGAGGAGGAGGAGGAGGAGGAGGAGGAGGAGGAGGGGGGGGGGGGTCCGAAATCTGCTGCACGCAGCTGGGTTCGGCCCCGCCGCCGCCGGGCCCATTCCTCGATACAAGGGGCGCCTCCCGGCGCCGGGAGGCGCTGGGAAAGTCGGCAACGTGAGCTGTCAGGAGGGGAAAAAACACAGACACAATTAACCGGCGATTCCTCAGAAAATATGGGAAAATTATGGGAAGTGGGCGGGAAGACAGGAACCCAGAAAATATGCAAAAATATGGGGAATATTTTTATTTGTGTGTATGTATTTGTGTGTCCTGGGGCCCCTGCAAGCTGATTCTCTACCCTGCCCTTTGCCTATCCCCCCCTTTCGTCCCCCCCAGAGCTGCTGAGCCACGATGCGCAAGAAGAGCACGGCGTCGGGTGCTCCGGCGCGCACAGAGAGAGGCCCGGGGCCTCCGAAGCCAGGACCCTGCAGTCCAGGGCCTCGCCAGGGCCAGCGGTCAGGGGCAACGCTTCTGGGGGGCGAGCAGACCCCATACCGTCAACTCGGACCTGTCCCTCTACAGCAGGAATATTCAGACACAGTTTTTAAAACATAGTACGGGGACGATGTGTCTACCATTTCTACCATTCTTCACAATGTTGCGAGTGTTGTTTGACCATGCTTTATTTTTCGTTTCTAATCCCCACGTAGGAGGGCAGGCCCGACCTAACCCTAGCGCCGATCAATGGGCGATTGAGGGTCGATGCGTCCCCCCCTATACCTATTCCCCCCCTACCGTTGCCCCTGAGGTAGGTGCCCCAGGAGAGCGCCCTGGTAGGTACAGCGGAGGCCCATGCCAAGAGACAGCCTGCCTGCCTCCAGGGTGCCCTGGGCTTCTTGGGTGTCGATGGTTTTGCCGTGGAAACCGCGACGCTCCTACACCAAAAATCGATGGACGTCCTGGGGTCTCAGGGGTGGGTTTCGTGTGGAAGGTTTCTTGTGGACTGGCCTCCACCGTAGTAGAAACCTTCGGACGCCCCAGTTCGAGTAGGGGATCGGCTGCAGAGCTGATTTGCCTCAAGATTGATTCTTCCGCCGAGTGCTCCACAGCTCCACGGAGCACTCGACGGGTTTCTCGCAGATATCGACGGCAAAACCAAGTGTGGGGCAAGGGAATTCTGCGGTCGATTCCCTACTCGCCCTGTGTGAAAGAAGGCAGGCTGGAGAAGACCTCGACCCACGGCTACAGCTCTATTACGGTGGGTCCGCGTCGTGTCGACCAGCGGCGACCCCGCCGTCGGCGTTCAACGTTGAACGCCGGCGGCGCCCCAAATCGGTCGATGTTGAACGACTGCACGCTGCGGAAGCGGCCGATCGCTCAAGGCGGAACGAACGATCCAGCGCGGTGTCAGAAACCAGCGCCAGGGTTGGCCTTGACACGAGCCTGCCGTACAGTGGGGACGCGCATCAAGAAACCATGCGTTTCTCGTCAGAGTGCCCTGGGTTTTCGACGCTCCACGCGCTGCGCGGAGACTTCCCACGGCCGTTGAAGAAGCCGCTGCGTTCAGGGTGTCAAGGGAGGAAAAACCACCTGGACCGGACAATTTGCGTTTACTCAACGGCCCTGGGCGTTTACGAAAAGCCTTGCCTTGTTCGATTCCTTCTTTGGGTGCGTTTACTAAACGGCCTCGCTTGTCGGGGGTGGATTTTTTGCCCTCTAGGGTGCTCCAGGTTTCTCCTCGGGTGCACTTCGCGCGCGGGCTCTCGGGGTTGGGTTTCTCGCGAGGGTTTCTCGCGGCCGCGCTCGCACCGCACGCCGGCGCCCTGGCTGACCTGGGCCCCCGTGGACGGGGGCCCGAGCAGAGCGGCGTCCCCCTGGCGGGCGCCGCCAGAGGCGCCCGTGGCCCCAGACGCCCCCCGCCTCTCCAGGGAGGCACCTTGCGGCATCCGGATCAGCCCCTCGCGGAGGAGGAGGAGGAGGAGGAGGAGGAGGAGGAGGAGGAGGAGGAGGAGCCGGAGAAGGAGGAGGAGGAGGAGGAGGAGAAGGAGGAGGAGGAGCAGGAGGAGGAGGAGCAGGAGGAGGAAGAGGAGGGGGAGGAGCAGGAGGGCGCGAGAAGCTGGGGGCACCTCGCGCGCCAGGAGCACCCCCATCGGCAGCCCACGAGCCCATCCCTCCCCTCCTCCCCAGGCCTCCAGCGTCCAGTGGCAGGCATCGAGACGGGCGGCGTCGCCTCGGTCTCGAGGCGGGGGAGCCGTGGCCTCCAAGTGCCCCTCCCTGGGGGACCCGCCTGTCTCGGCACCGTTTTCTCAATCGCAGACATGGATCGAGGGGGCGTGGATTAGCGACGGGTCCCGTTTCCGTGGGAAGTCGCGGATGTCTGCCGCCGAGCGAGGGGGCGCTGGCTGCATCTTACGCGCCAAGCCCATGGATCGCTAATCCATGTTTGCGCGCCCCCGATTCTCGAGAAGTTGCCGACGCGACGGGTTTTCCCGGAGGGGACCGAGGGCCCGATTTCAAGCAGTGGCGAAGCGTCCCGGCTCGCCTATAGCCCTACCAAACGATGTTCTAAGAACCTTTTGCGGTTTCCACGAAATGTTCTTAGAACATGTCTGGTTGGGACTGTCTTGTGTTATCACATCGGGTTAATGTTCTAAGAACATTGTTTTTGTTCTTAGAACATGTTTGGGTTCTAAGAACAATTCGTTGTAGGACTATAGGAATGCCGGGACGGTCGGTCCCTGCTCAACGATGCAGCTCCTGCAGGCCCGTGTGGGCCGTCTGCCCGTGCCGGCTTTTTCGGCCCGCGTCGGCTTCGGCGCGTGTTCCGGCGCGGCCCGCCACGGCGGGGGGCGGAGCCGAAACGGGCCGGGAGCCGTAACTTTATGTCGGGCGTGTCCCCCTACAGGGGGATTTTCGACGAAAAATTCGCCGGCCCAACGGGCCAGAGGCGTGCTAAGATCTCCGGTAACTGGTTAACAATTTTCTAGTTCGCGCGCGCGGGGCGGCCCCTGGGGGTCCCCGGACGAAAAGTACCCCGACCAGGTCCCGGCCGGTCCCCGGCCGGGTCCCGGCCGGGTCCCGGCCGGGTCCCGGCCGGGTCCCCCCGAGCGCTCCATGAGCGCACCAACAGGGCTCCGAGACGTCCCCGAGAGCCCCAAGAAAGGCCAAGAGGCCCCCAAGAGGCCCCCAAGATGGTACACGAGGGGTCCGACATGCCACAAGATCGCTCCAAGACGCCCAAGATAGCCCCCAGACGCCCCAAGAGGCCTCCAAGAGCACTCCCAATAGGGCCCCCGGAGGCAAAAATCATTGTTTTTCCATAGGTTTTTGAGAGATTTTGGAGCTTCCACCTTTTCGGCTTCCCGACGCCCCAAGACGGCCCAAGAGGCCCCCAAGATCGCCCCAAGAGGGCCCAAGAGGCACCCAAGAGGGCCCCAAGATGGCCCAAGAGGGCTCGAAGACGGCCCAAGAAGCCTCCAAAACGGTCCAAGAGGGCCCCAAGAACGCCCCCAAAGGGGCCCCAGAGAGGGAACACGAAACAACATTTCGAGCCCTCGGCCCTAAGAAGCCCCTACGAGGCCCCTAAGAGGCCCCAAGAGGCCCCCACGGGGCCCTCAGGAGGCCCCCAAGAGTCCCCCAAGCGGCCCCAGGAGGCCCCCCAAATGCCCCCCCGAGCGCCCCAGGAGTCCCCCAAGCGGCCCCAGGAACCCCCAAAGCGCCGCATTGACACCAGGCCCTCGGGCAAACGGCAGACATGAGACTGTATGGGCCGGCGGAATGAGCGAAGCGATTAAATAAAAAAAATCCCCCAAAATATTACCAAAAGGTACAACAAACAAATATTCAAGAAATAGTCCCCAGACTATGTTTGGAGTATTCTTGTATTATCTGTTTGTTGTTTTTTTATTATTCGTCGAAAACCCCCCTGTAGGGGGACACGCCCGACTTAAGCGAAGCGGGAACGGGCCGAAGCCGAAATAGACCGATGGAGCTGAGACGGGCCGAAGCCGAAAGCGGCCTCTTCTCGCAGAACAAAGAACGCCATCAACATAAACGTTTGGCTCTCCGCGCGGACGTCTTGGATCCGGCGCAGATCCGAGGAACATCCGCACGGAGCGCCAAACGTTTTTATGTTTATGGCGTTTTTGTTCCTTATCTTCCCCCCAGGGGCGGACGGAGGAGCACAGGTGCCCCCCCTGAGATCCGACGATGTCAAAAAATGCAGCATGGCAAAGCAAGTGGAACCGGAGTCCCAGCCCACATTTTTCTGCCGCGTTCTCCGAGCCGGATCGATCTGTGATAATCCCGGGGCCCGAAGCCAGGCGACGACGCCCGTTGTGGAAAACGCATCGCCAGGATCTCAGGGACACGCGGACGTCGACTCCCTGGCAAACTACCCCTTCCCGTGACGCCCCCCTTCGCCTCGCCCCACGACGTGTGCATGCGGCTGGAAGGGGAAGCTCGAGGGACGAGGCTGGCGCCAAGAAAGGCGCTGGCTTGCCGGGGCTCGGTGAGTTCGGCGCGCCCGGCGGCGCCTCCGCAGGGCGAGCTCCACAGGCAGGGCAAGTGCCCGCGCCCGTGCAGGGAGCCCCCCCGCGCTGCCCGCCCGCACGCGTCGCGCGCCAGGGGCGAGTGTACCCCCTCCTCCTCCTCCTCCTCCCCCTCCTCCTCCTCCTCCTCCTCCCCCTCCTCCTCCTCCTCCTCCCCTCCTCCTCCTCCTCCTCCTCCTCCTCCTCCTCCTCCTCCTCCTCCTCCTCCTCCTCCTCCTCCTCCTCCTCCTTTTCCTCCTCCTCCTCCTCCTCGCCGTCCTCATCCTCATTCCCCCTCCTCCTCCTCGTCCTCCTCCTCCTCCTCTTCCTCCTCCTCCTCAGAAGAGTACGAGAAGGAGCATGACGAGATGATCGGGGAAAGGATGCCGCTACCAATGGACGGGGATCTGAGAGTTCAGGTAGAGAGGGACAAAAGGGACATGCTGATGTACTGCAGAACAGCGGCAAAGAGGAGAGCTTCCCCCCCATGGGGGGTACCAGTGGAAATAACTTTGATGATTCTCGACCGTACGGTCAATCTGAAGGACCCTGAGCAGTCGAGCAAGGAGTTGGAGGAGCAGAAAATACGAGCGGCGGAGCTACGGGAGAACGAGGAGGACTTGGATAAGTACAGCTCGCTCCACAAGTACAGGGTGGGACGGGCGATCCCATTGAAGATGGGATGGAAAACAGGAAATGCGCCGGGCAGGACGGAAAGAGCCGATGATGGAGAAGCGATGAGGGCGAATGGAAGCACAAACAATTTACAATTTGGGGGGATACGAGCAAGCTGGACGGGGGTCAACAGCAATGGAGGCAGACGAGAATATGGAGTGCAGGAACAGATTGGAGGACATCCTCACTAAGCGTTGCCAATCCCAAGCTACGCCGCTGGATTGGCACATTTCGTTCTTTGCAGAAAAAGGCAATAACAAACAGGGGGTTGGAGGGAAAAGAGTTCGTTATGCATGCTTTGTGACTTTGTAGGAATGGCTTCCCACAAGGGGATTCACTACAGAGGGAAAGCTCCAACGCACCCATGCTGGGCACAAGGATGGCTACGAAATAGATGAAGGGAGATCGAACTTGGATGCGTGGAGGCCACGCAATTGACAGCGAGACAAGCAGGGTTAAGTACCACCGCCAGTAATTATGACTGCACCAACACATTCGCGAGCACGAAACGAAACCTCCAGCTGACACCGGTACTCGCCACAACAGGAGGACGCACAATTCAATAGTACGTACATCTTGTACGTGGGACAAGGGCACCAGGAAAAAAGGGAGAGGGGCGAGATGCGGACAGTGCATGATACGGATACGCTGGGCCCCGTTACAGACCAGGTGCACGATCTTTCGCTCAACGCGCTCATGGGTGACATCGCCAAAGTCCACGCGGTGGTTTAGTCGGGCCCACCCACCCTGGTGACTCCCGTCAGCGAGGAAATCTCGTAGCAGCAGTCAGCTTCTGGCGAAAGCGAGGCCATCTCGGCTCGCCCAGAAGCGCCCACTTGGAGGGAGGGCGGGCCATTGTTCCAGGCAAGAAGGATAGCGGAGCAGATCAACGCTACCACGGCGAGATTGCAGCGCAAGCTGGCGGAGGGAGGTCGGAGCCTGAACCCAGCCAAAACCAACCGCCTGGTTCCCCTTCGAGGCCCGGGGCGAGATGGGATCACCCGACAGCTGCAAAAGGGAAAAGAAGCTCAAGGGCACGCCGATGAGGGAGATGCGAGCGCTGGGGTCTAACCTACCTGGGGCTCATGGCTACGCGGGGGAGATCAGGAGGAGATGTGAGTCTATGCTGGTAGCCTACAGGCAACGCGGTCGCTTCTGGCATTCAGATACCACCGACAAAATAAAGCGCGAGATGTCCCAGGAGTTTGTATCTGGGGCGGGCCTTGGTGGGCGGCTGGCACTTGTATTAGAAGACTGCCCCCCCAGCGCGCTTGACAGTATTATGGCCATACTTTTGGGTCGACTGGCTGGAGGCAGAATGAGTTGGACCCGAGAGGACGGCACGACCAGGTGCTACGCCAACAAAGGGGTGTTCAAACCATGGAGGATATCGCTCTGTGCGACAGCGCTGAGGATATTCAGGCTACGACGGCACAGGCAATGGACGAAACCTCCAGAGGATTTCCGCAGCGCATGTGCAGCAGCATTTGGAACGTCGAATTTGGGGCGCCTCTGCGAAGACCGAAGATTGGAAAATGGGTGGGCATGTGAGACGTCTACGCCTGGAGCAAAGCAGGTGGTCAAGGATTTTCAAGCGCTGGCAGAGGTCAGCGAGGGCACGGCAGGCTGGCGCCCACACGGCAGCCAGATATTTCAATGCTTCCGAAAGGCACGATGGACAGGGAAGCGCGGATTGGAGCAGACCCCTGCGCACAAGGAAATGCAGGGCGCACCTGGGATGCCAAGCTACCAGAAATAGTAGAGGGAGAAGAGTTGTTCGCTCAGTACTGGTGCGACTGGGAGGCGGGCGAAGAGGGGCATGCGTGCGGAGCGAATTTCACAGCGGCGGCGGCGTTGGCAGCGCACAGGGGAGTGGCGCACAATTTTTGTCCACGGATCCCCAGCCTACTGGTGACAAATCAATGACCATGGTGCCTGAGCTCGCTCGCGGGCAAACAAATGCAGCCGACCATCATGAGGGCGCGGGGGGTCACGGAGTTCGCTGCAAAAAGAAAAGTTGTTGGAATCACCCGGCCCAAGGACCTCCCTCCCTAGGCTGCGCCGCACGTGGATTTCTGGTTCAATCATTGGGAGATTTTCAGATGCGCGCGCGCTGCCACCATCCTGCCCCGCACCGCGTGAAACATGGCGATTGCACCGCGGAGACTTCCCCCGCACAAGAGGGGGGCAGATGCGGATGTTGAAGGAGAACCGAAGCACTACAAGGGCGGCCAGGGCAGTGTCAAGGACCAGTGGGCAACAGAAGGGACGAGCGCCAAGGCGGCAGGAAGCCCGCCCGCGGCCGCGGTCGTGTCCTTGGGAGGGGCGCAGACCCCCCCGCAAGCAGCCGCAAACCACGGAGGACTACGAGGAGATCGACCTCGGAGGATGCATCCACGGACTCCAGCGATCGGCCTTCTGCTCAGCGGCAGTGACGAGGGAGATGAACCACATGGCTTCGGATTTCTTTGCATGCCAGTCAGCAATTGGTGGACGTTTCGGAAGCCGCCAGCAACGGGACAAACCTACCGGAACCAGACCAGGGAGAGAGGCAAGGGGCGCACGCTGGGGCCGCCAGGCATACACAGGGGCATGGCGCCCGCCCATGGGGGGCACCCGGGAGATCGCGTCGGCCCGGCAGAGAGATGACCCTACGACAGTCGGGCGATGGACGCGCTGAACGCCTTCCCGAAGATGTTGGGCAGAAACAGCGAGCACAGCCAGGCCATGGTTACAGAGACTATCAAAATGCGCAAGGTCAGCGAGAGCTAGAGGGCCCGCAGCGGCAAGAACAGGGACCCGAACGAGGCGAAGAATCAGTTCTGGCGGGAGGGCCCAGGCAAGATCCAGATCGGAATCAACGAGACCCACAATTTCAGGGCAGCGCAACTGAGGAGCACGACAGAAGAGACCACGGAGAAGCTGGACCAGTTCTCGGGGATGCTGATAGTATTCGTGGAGGCAAGAAGTCTCAGTCGGCGGCGCCCAAGTCGGAGTTGGAGAGGATGGTGGAACGGGAACTCCAGCACCGGCGCCGCTGAGAAAGGAGGGGGCAGTTGAATTAGCGAGGTTATTTCGGAGTCCAAAAACACCGGGCCAAAGCGTCAGACCGCGGCTGTCGTGGAAGAGCGCCTTCGCCGCACCTCCGACGGCGTCTGCGCCGAGTCTTGAGAGAGCCGCCTGCGGGGGGCCCGCTCCAGGGCAGTCGAGCATCGCAGGAGTGCCCCAGCGGACAGGCGAAGAGGAGAAGACATCTTTCAGATGCTGAAGGATAGCGGAGTCAATCAGCATGGACGTTGAACACCTCACTAAATCTAGACTTTCGCCCCGGATGGTAGGATATACGGATCGGCCCTAAAGTTTCGAGCAGAACGAAAGCCCCTGCGGGAGCTTTTCCATTGCAAAAAATGGCTCCCACCCACCCTGCCGGCCGCGCGATGCCAATTGTACACGCGAAGTAGACGAACCAGATCCGATCCCCCTGCTTTCCTTACTCCCTGCAGGATCAGCCAGCGTCGATTCCGGAACTCGGATCGGACCGGAGTCGGACCGCATCGGCACGGAGACGGAGTCCAATCGGATCGGTTGCGCCAGGATCCAGGGCATCGCTCGGAAGGGGGCAGATTCCCCGGCGAGGGCTACCAACGCGCATTTGGGATCATCTACCGTAAAAACAACGCACGACATCGAGCAGTGCACGCGGAATGGGGCCGCATCGCATCGGCGGAACATCGGAATCGAATCGGATCGGGTTGGCCGGAACGGACGTCGAAGCCGATCGATGGGATCGAAAACGTCCCTGGCAGGAGCCAGCTCGACCCTGCGGCTTCGAGTCGGCTCGACTTCGAGGATCTCGATTTCGCTCCGATGCGGCTCCAGGCTCCGGCTTCGGTCGGGGCGTTTCCCCGTGCAGGCCCGGGCTCGGGCCGCCAGGCGCCGATGCCGATGCGATTCGCTCTGCCTGCCGAGTCCTGCCGAGCCGACGCGTCCCGATTGCCAATTGGGTTTTCGGACTCGATCCTGGGTCATCCCGCGAAGAAAGAATCATAATAATAATAATGATAATAGTAGTAATAATAAGAATAATAATACTAAGAAGAAGAAGAAAAAGAAGACGAAGAAACAACATATACAGAAAAACACGCCATGACACCAAGCTCTGGGCGTTCCGCGCGGGTTTCTTGGATCCGCGCTGGGCCCCCCCCCGGCGGCGCCTCCGCCGCCGCCCCTGGCGCGTTCCGCTCGCCAGGGAAGGGGGCCCCGCGCGGATCCAAGCAATCCGCGCGGAGCGCCCAAAGTTCATGTTTGTGTTTTTTTTTTTTTTTTTTTTTTTTTTTTTTTTTCTCATCCTGTCTCCAGCTCAGGCGGTGTTTCGATTTGTATTTCTGGCTACTTTGAACATGTTTTG